CACACTGACACACACACAGAGAATGTAGTATGTTGAGATTGACGTTTTAATATTTGGCACATGGAAATGAATTTGCAGCAATAGTGCAAGCAACAGCTCAACTCCCATTGTAAAATGGAACACACTTACAGGCAAGGGTTTTGTTCCATGGAACACAGTATTTGTACAGGCAACAGCTCAATTCCCATTGTAAGATGGAAGTATCAGAAGTGTGTCATCGTATTTACTTGAACCAGCATGGCCTCGTGGGCAATTCACCAAACAAAATTGATCTAGGTATAAATGACAGGGGGGATCTCCAGAAACAAGATGCGTCGACGGCGGCACGGTGAGAGCTAAACACAACGGGATCTCCCATTCCCTCGTACTAGCCCTAAGAAATGGATAATAATCACCAGCCTTTTATCGTGCAATCTGCAGTCACTTGTCAGTCATTCTGTGGTGAGAGAGGAAGTCCCCGTCGCGAGCTTTTCCAACGACGCACCGATCATTTTGAGAGCCAGTAGATGATCAAAAAGATGGTGCAGGCCGCGATTACTGCTGAAAGAATGATCGTGTCCTTTGATTTCTTCCTCTTGATGGCGCCTGCAAACAAGAATGTATTCGATTGTTAGGGTGCTGGAATCGGGTCAAATAGCAGAGAGCATACGATGATGCCCGCCAAAAGACTAATGTCCGATGAAAGAATTAAGGATCGACAGATTACCTAGGAGGCCTCGAACCACAGGGAATTTTTCACCTAACTGCTTGACTTTTCCCTGAACATCTCCAAACAGGGCCCTCTGATTGGATAGGGCTGCTCTTGTGCTTTGAGCTTGCCCAATTACCTCGTCTATCTGGAATTTGGGTAAAAAAAAAAAGAGGAACATAGTGCGTCATGAGCTAGAGTTGATCACAAAGACAAACACATATTGACAGTGACAAAGTTTCGCTGCACAAAAGTAGACTTGTTTTCTCTCTTCTCCACTCAAACCATCGTTCAATGTTCACACTGTTATTAGTACAGAAAACACGGTTGTAACTTGTAAGTGTTCCTAACAACCTGTTCTTCCTATTGCTGTGTAATTCCCAACACCCTGCCCCAAGTTGCACATCACATGAGACACCACTCACAGATATTAATGATTTTGTGCATCAGATCAGAGAATGCAGAATGAGCAAGAACTAATGATGAACATCACAAATATAAATGGGGATCCTTCTAGTGCGAGTGTGCGACGCTAAGCAGCTGGCATGAAATTGAACAGAATTTTAGATACGCTTGGTCTAACTCAACTACTGGAACCATACCTGGTTGACGCTGCCATGAATGGAAGCCCTCTCCCGGAGCAAATGCACCCTCGGCGACATGCCGCCCGTAGCCTGGAGAGAAAATCCCCGGCGATCAGACTGAGACGACACAACAGATGAACGGGGGCATACGCTCTGCAACAACACTTTGATGAGAAGTGGAGACCCGGAGAGAGGCGACACGAAACCTTGGACTCGGTGATGTCGCCGCGCACGGAGCTGAGCAGGTCGGCGTGCTCCCTCATGGAGCTCAAGTTCCCCCGCGTCCTCCTGAACTCCTGTTCCGATCGATCGGATCGGATCAGCCAACCAACCAACCATTTCAGCGAGGTGAGCAGCGGGGCAGAGAGGAGAGGCGGCGGGGGAGGAGGAGGAGGAGGAGGGGGACCTGCGTGAACTCGTGCAGGATGTCGCGGTGGCGCGCGAGCTTCTGGGAGACGGAGGCGGTGGCGGGGGCGGCGGGGGCGGCGCAGCGGCTCATGGCGTCGTTGACGTCCTGCAGCTTGTCGAGCAGCGCCTGGATCTCGAGCTCCGTGGACTTCCAGGAGGAGCGGTCGGCGGTGGGGGAGGCCGCCGAGGCCGAGGCCGAGGCGGAGGAGGAGCGCGCGGCGAGGCGCGCGTACGAGGAGAGCTTCACGTCCAGGTCCCCCTCCAGCTTCCGCGCCTCCCGCCGCAGCTCCTCCCACCCGGACTCCTGCAGCTCCAGCGCCGCCGCCGCCGCCGCGTCGTCCGACTGCCCCACGCCGTGCATCATCGCCGTCCCCCCTCCTCCGCCGCGCCCGATCCGGTTCCGGCGCCCCCTGCTCGCGTGATCTGATGAGGGGGGGTTGGGGTGGGAGGAGGATTTGGGTTTGCGACGACGCGGAGGTTGGGAGGGGAGAAGGGTTACGTGGAGAGCGGAGACTGGGCGCTTGGCCAATCTGGCTTGTTTTTTTCAGA